AACCCCCCCCAAACCACCCCCCTAAACAACCGCCAAAAACACCTCAAAAAAATGAGGAAAAAAACTAAAAAATAAAAAAAAAACTCCACATTTTTTTAAAACTCTGTTGATGTGACCAGTGAGTGTTATTTACATTCAATTGTGCCTGAAAAATTGTGATTTTAGTGACAAAAAAATCCCGACAATTTTTTTTATCAAAAAAAAATCTCAAAATTTGAGGGAAAAAAAAATTCCTGTTTTTAGTTTTTGTTGTTTAAATATTTTTGTGCATTTTTGAAAATCATTCTGTGTGTGAATATGTGCAGCCTCCTCCAGGACCATTAGGAGGAGGCTGACCCGTATTGCCCCCTCTCCCTCCCTCCCCCCCCCTTCCCCCGAATGAATATTGGATTATAAAAATGGAGGAGATGCAGAACGGCGTTGTTTTGATAAAATGTAAGTTTTGTAATGGAATGAATTTCGAATTTACTGAGGAATGGTACTGGTGGCAGTGGAAAGCTGGTGAAATTGCGATGAAAATGGCACCAGGTAGACCGCTTTTCCACGATCAGTTCCTGAGAAAATAGCGATCGAGTGAAATCTCCGTCGAGAGTTTGTCGGAGTATCCGGGTACCGGAGGGGTCACAATAGAATGATTTTTTTTATGAATTGATTGGAAATATTCCCGAGTTAGAATGGTACCAGGAGAGAAATAGCTGCGGGCATTAGTGCGGGAGAGATACGGGCAAAAATGACGATTGAGTGTTGAAAGGTCATGGAAACAATTTCTCTTTATCTCGTGGAGTGTTTTCTAATTCGGCGTTGTGGATTATAATTAGAGTATTTTGGAGGTGAAAATAGAGGAGTTGGGCGCGATGGGGGGAGGGGCGGGGGAGGGAGATGGTGGAGAGTTGGTTTCTGAAATGCCCGAAGAAGGGAGAAAGATAAAGGAAAGGGAATGACACCCATGGTGATTTCAAACTAGACGCTGCAGTGTTGCCAGACGTATTGTGAGGATAAACCAATGGGTTCGTGGCACTGGGGAAGCTTGTGGCACATGCTGGGTCGGGAGTTCTTCGTGTGCAGGTTTTGAATTTTTTGCCTCCGAGTGGAAGCTTTGTAATCGCTCGTATTTAAGGATATTCAAGTATTTTTTACAGTTTGGTACAGACCACACTATAGATTCAACTATTTTCAATCATCAAATTCGTCAATCAAATTGCGTGAGAAAAATTTGAAAAAAATCGTGAATATTCAGTGTCATTCAAATTTCATTTTGCACGGAATTATTATTTTTTAAACATTCGTCGTTTATAAATAAATAATTAAAATTGTTTAAACTTTCGAAAACTTTTTTTTTAGGCATGAAGTCGATTTATGGTAAAATTGTGAATATGAATAAATTTGTTACGATTCCGAACAAATGATTTTTATGGTAGAAAATTGATTGTTTACAAATTATTTATAGAAAAGGCTCATAATTTTCAAAAATTCCAACTTTTTAATTATTTCATTAATCTTCCTCGAAAAGCAAATTTTCGAAGATTCAAATTCAAGATTCAAATTCAGACCTGCAAAGTTTAAATAATAAAATCTTTGCAAAATGTCCGGAAACTTAGGGTCAAATGGGGCTCAAATGAAAGCTGTGAGGCTCGGCTACAAAAGTAGAAAAGCATTTCACCGGAGAAAAAATAGCCAAAATACTTGGATATCCTTAAGGATATTCAAGTATTTTTAACGATTTGGTACAGACCACACCATACATTCAACTATTTTCAATCATCAAATTCGTCAATCAAATTGCGTGAGAAAAATTTGAAAAAAATCGTGAATATTCAGTGTCATTCAAATTTCATTTTGCACGGAATTATTATTTTTTAAACATTCGTCGTTTATAAATAAATAATTAAAATTGTTTAAACTTTCGAAAACTTTTTTTAGGCATGAAATCGATTTATGGTAAAATTGTGAATATGAATAAATTTGTTACGATTCCGAATAAATGATTTTTATGGTAGAAAATTTTCAAAAATTTTCTTGGTAAATTTTTTTGGCTCATAATTTTTAAAAATTGCAACTTTTTAATTTTCATCAATCTTCTTCCAAAAGTAAATTTTCTAAAATTTCTTCAGATTTTTATGTTTTTTAACAGTTCAATATCAAGATTCAAATTCAGACCTGCAAAGTTT